GTGTGTGAAGGGGCTGTGTGGTTGTGTGTGGTGTGTGTGTGTGTGCCTCTGTGCGTGCGTGTCGCGCACGCGCGTGCGCGTGTGCGTCTGTGTGTGTGTGTGTGTGTGCGTGCGTGCGTGCGTGCGTGCGTGCGTGCGTGTGTGTGTAGCGCATATAGGCAAGGAGGTATGAAGTGAGTGCGAAACAAGTAAAATACCACATAGTTCGATTAGTAGCGCGATATTCACTGCGGCAGTTGTTACAGCCGACATTTGTCCGAGGACGACGAAGCCTTTACCCGTGAGGCGTACGACATGTCTATTTATAACGGCTAGACGTACATCCATACTATCGTCCACTGATTAAGAAGCAGTGCGATTCTTTATACACCGGCTGATAAGAAATACGACGTGAGTCGCTCGTACCGCCTTCTTCGATCATTCATCCTCATTAAAACGTATACTATATAGTCACATGCGGAACTAAAGTGTTACTGAATGGCTGGGGTGAAGTGAAGCAGGGTCATTGGCTCACTGCTGGGTGGCGGCGGCGGCTGCGCTGCTGCTGCTACTATGCTCATTATGTTTCATTGTAATCAGTGCTAAATACATATGATTTATGTATGCATTTATATACATGTGTAGTAATCGTTTATGATTCTTCTTTAAAATAAAAATATTTTGTGCTAAATGACCCCCATTGACTCTCTTTACAATATTAATATTATTTACCAAAGGGTCTCTCTTAGTCTCTACCAGGGGGAGTATAGGCCTCCTCAAAATCGTAAGCCCATGCCAACTGGCCCACTTGCCCCCCTTCTGTTCTGGCCTGTATATAGACTATTACTTACTATAGACGCTGTCTACTACTAGAATACACTCTAACTCAGTAGATAATAGTAATTATCAGTCTTAACAAGTTACAGTCATGCCTGCAGACGTTTTTATGCCTTACAAAGTTTTTATGGCCATCACCTATTATATAACCTATTATAACCTATTATAGACAACACATGAATTTAGAATATACACAATAAAATGTAGAAAAATAAGAGTAGACTACTCACATCCAGCTCAATTTTGGGGTATCGGGTTTTTAGCTCTGGCGCATATGCCTGGCGCCCCACCACTAAAAAATTCTGGCAGTGTCCATTCCTGATACCTGGGACCATGCCGAACATTTTCCAATAGAGTTCATGGGGTTTCCTTTCCAGCTAATCTAGCTCAATTTTAGGGTACCTTTCAAATGACCCCACTGACCACACCCACCAGCGGCTGCCCGCCAGACTTACATTTCCTTACATGGGTATCATGTACACGAATCATTGCTATATGCATGAAAATTGGTTTCCTTTCCAGCTAGGCTGACCCCCCTGGGCATCCGGTCTATACCATCCTGATCCTACTATATTATCGTACTAGCTCCCTAGCTACCCGACACCCCCTATTCAACAAGAGAGGGAGGCAAGATACAAAATACAAGCAAAGATCGTAGAGTGCACAAGATAAACCACTCATGCGAAATCACGTGCAATGACGTGTAGTACGCAATGGAGCGCCACGTCCGCCATTTTAGGAAGCAAATTCACACGAAGTTCCCGGATGCTGCTGTATCTGCTACTGTGCAAACTGTCAGCTGTGTGCTGTCAGCCTATCAAATGTGACGCCACCGCGCCACCTCCCGCCATCTTGCAACCACTCCTC